TAACTCTGTGTACGACTGAAGGAAGACCCACCACCTAACTGATGACTGAACTGAGCTAGTGCTAATGACTCCTTATCATAGGAACCCCTTCCACCTCCGTTGGATGTACCATTAAACCTGCCTGTTGTTCGGGCTTTCTTGTTTTGCTCTTTTTCTTCTCTCATTTATTGTCTGTCTTTTTCTAAGTGCTTGGCGAATCCCACAACAGAGGAGAAAGCTGTCATTCCTTTTGCTGCAGCTGATGTCGTATCCTTAATGTGGTAAGCCAAACCGCCAACAAACCTGCGAATCTTTGCTTTTTCTGTCTTAACCATGTGAGGAGCATGCTTAGCTAACCTTATGAATTCCATGTAGTACTCTGGTACACTTTTATTCCCTTGCTTGAGCTGTTCAAACTCTGTAGACTTAGCTTCCCTATCCTCTTCCGGATAAATTTATCCATGAAGGCCTCTTCAAATTCTTCCCAAGTAGGCGGACCATCATATTCATCTCTTTCCTTTTCCTACATCTCAAACTAAGCGCCGACCACATCTCTAAGCTGGTAAGAAGCCAGCTCCAGAGCTTCATCATCAAATGCTTTCATCGCTCGGAGGACTTTCTTGACACCTTCCAGCCACAACATTGGATCTTCATCAGCTATAGACCATAGAACAATGGAGGACTCCACTTCAAAAGTTCATTCACTCTTGAGGACTCAGAATTGTTTTGTCTATTTGGTTGAGGTGGAATCGCATCTCTTCTCTCGTTCTCGTTGGCCTTGAAGGCTTTAAACATCTCCATAGCACTTCTGACAGCATTAAACATCTGACCCACTTCTAGAGATATAGCTGTCTGAGCCAGAATTGCTGTTGGGGGTGGCGCTGGATCCTGTACTTGCTCATCATTATCCATCCCTTCTTCATGTTCAACTCGGGGTACTTGAACCCCCTTTGTGGATCTACCCTTCCTTTTCTGAGTTAAAGCCTTCTTAGTTCTACCTTGAGCCACAATAGTAGCAATAGTTTCTTGAGCAACATCTTGAGTGTCAGTGACAGAGTTGCGAGTACGAGCCATTTCTGCGAGTTTTGAAGAAACGAATACATTAGATAGTTTCTTAGAGGTAAGATCTACTTCACAATCTAAAGTATAAAAAAAATGAGACTTTTCCTAAATGCTTGTACACTCCTGTTTATAAGTATGACGCGCTTCATACTCATAAACAAAACTCTACTAACACGGCTTCATAGACCCCTAGGACTCCATAAACCTGAGGCTCTGATACCAAGTTTGTCACGATCCATTTTTTGAACAAGCCGGGACCGGCACCCGATCACTAAACATGACCGAGCGAACCATCTGCGCTTATCAAATCTATTATAACTTCAAACTTTATATGCCACAAGGCACTACTGCAACCAAATACTTTTAATTAATTTAAATATCTAAAATAAGCCAACTTCAAAACTTTATTCGTAGTAACCAATGAAATGCTGCTAAGTTATTATCAAAAAAATCTGAATCTTAACCCACCAACTGTGTCTTAAAGCCTCTACTAACGCATTGCTCAGGACATGGGATTTCCTGGCTAGTTCTCCAAGTAAACAAATAGATAACTAAATAAAGATGACACTAAGGAATATTTCACGAACAAAAGTGGAGCTCACCAATAACACTGGAAGAGAGGTAAGTCCTAACCCGTAGCTTGCTCGCTTGCAAAACCGGTTCCTACGTTGTACCGCAGACAAACGTAGGTTCCCAAAAGAGAACGTCAGTACCATCCATTGTACTCAGTGAGCCTCACGACAGGGGAAGAAACTTTAATAAAATATACATTACGTGCAAATATTCTGAAGGCATGGAACTTAAAGCTTCTAAGAACAATTCTAAAATAATTGCATATTAGCAGTTTATGAATATTCTATAAGAAATTCTTTTCTTTATATTTCTTATAAAAAAATACTTCACTTTATACTTCGGGAGTTCCAACTATCCTGACTTATTTCTGTCTTAGTCACCGTGTGATCGGTACGGGTTCGATCCAACCTGATCCAATAGGCCCAATCCCCGAGGTGCCACTCATTTCATGGTTCTCAGTGCTCATGTATCATACCTTAGCCTGGCTAAGTAAATTCTCAGCAACGAGACATTCGGCTCGTGTGCTCCCTACTTTGGCACAAGTAGTTTCAGGAAGTCAACGCCTTGGTTAGAACCCTCGGTCTGGACGATGACCCCTTCTCAGAATAGAGGATACTCCCAAAAATCTTTCTTCTAAAACTTCTTCTTGTGACTTTTCAAGTCTAAATCTTTTCTAGACAATCCTATACATACTCATACAGGTATCCTTACATATAAAACATGGCATAAGAATGAAATAAATATTCAAAAGTATTTCTAAAGATTCTTGCATAATGAATACAAAGTTGAACGACCATCCATAAAACTTACTAATATAATTAGTGTAGGAGCAGGACGAGGACCTGATTTCCCTCTGCTTCCCAAACTCTAGTATAACTAAATAAATAAGCAACAAAAAACTCGTTATAGCTTGTTTAATAAAATTTCTGAGAAATTAAAAGTCATTTTTATTTTATTTATACAAGTGCTTATTTTGAAAACATATGGTATTTGTCATGTTTCTGGAAAAAAACAAATGCTTTTGAATAGTAATGAAAATTGCATTCCTGATTCTCTTACGGTAAAAATATTCCTTACAAAAAATTAATCTATTACCAAACTATTCCTGTAGTATGGATAAAATTAAACCTTATGCGTTATTGACACCATATCAATCACCGATGTCTCATAATATTTTAATTAAGTGAAGACAAAACTTAATTAAAATAAATTTATGTAGTTGAATGTGATTAGACACTTTAAAGTATTTTTTTTTTTGAAAAAAATAACTAAGTGCAAATTATTTTCTTTAATATTAATAGAAGTTCTTAAGTTATGCACCTATATCAGAATAAATCATCTAAATTTTAGTTAGAAAATAATTTTAAGCTAATGGGTACTTACTCGCTCCAATTAAGTACATACTAACTCTTTTAAACAATTCATCAAACACCTTGTATGCGTACTTTTGTGAGTTAAACCACTTTAGTAAAGGGTTATATCAACTCAACTCAAAACTCCTTGATCCAACACGTAGGCCCCAGTCCAATTTATACCCGTCAAATAATTGATTCTGAGTTCAAGAATAAGTGAGTTGTGAAGAACCCTAGAATTTTCGTCGCCTGCGGGAATACTTCGCTGCCTCTATTTCTTGAGCGTTAATTCTGTTTTGTTTCTTGTAAGGCTATTCTGTTTACGCCTCTTGTAAGGGGGAGAAATTCAAAAATAGCCAGATTTACAAGTGGTCATTCAAAAATAGCCACAGCTTCCAAAGTAATCGAAGTTTAGCCACTTTTCATGTAAAGATAAATCTGAACGAATTCACTATTTAAAATCCGTATAATACTCCAGCATAATATATTGAAGATCCAGCATAAGTATACTGGAACTCCAGTATATTATAATGGAGTTCCAGCATAAGTATACTTGAACTCAAGCATAATATACTGGAATTCAAGTATAATATGCTGGAAGTTCATACACAGGTGCTCCAATCTCCAGTATATTATGCTGGAACTTTCCGCATGTTGGAGTTCCAACATAATATGCTGGAAGTTCATACAAGGTGCACCGATCTCCAGTATATTATGCTGGACCGGTCCCTGTTGCAGCAAAATAGTGGCTATTTTTCAACGACTTTGCAAAAGCTAGCTATTTTTGAATGACCAGTCCGAAAATTGGCTAGCCCGTGCTATTTTTACCTTGTAAGGCTATTCTGTTTGGTCCAACAGCCCTTTATGGGCTTGGCTCGGCACGTGCTTATTTTATTATTATTTTTTTGACTTAACTAGTATTTAGTTATACCTGCTTTTAGTAATTAATAAAATTAAAATTATTAATATTTTCCTAATTGTATACCCAATTATTTATAAATAGGGAAATAACAAAAAAGTCAACCACAAGGGATTAAATTCATAATAGAAGTATAATTTAAGATTGTAAAAATTATAATCTATATTTAACGTGTTTTGAAACTTTTATAGATTTGAGGAGTGTTATTTACCTATATGGAAAGGGATTGGAATTTTCCATTGAAAATTATGGAAAAGAAGTCCAATTCTAGAATTCGCTAAGTCACGTACTCATGAAGGGCGTTGACCGCAACAACCCATTTAGAATGGGATTACAATTTTTCCTTAATTATTCCATAAAGTTTGAAATAAACTTTTACCCTACGTAAATCATTACCTCAACCAAATAGAAAAAGGATTTATAGGTGATGTTATATAAAGGGTGATGGAGAAAAATTTGCGGCAGTAATTCTTGGGAAGAAAAATCACTTTGTGAAAGTGAGAGTACAATACAAAGCCAAGAGAGAAAATACAATTACAAGAAATGTGTTTCTTGTTCTTCTACCTTTGAGTTGGAATTTTTGAGAAAAATTTCAGCACAAGTTTTTCAATCAATTTGTTCGCGTGTTTCATTGATCAAAGAGTTGATAGCAAGGAACGGTCTCAGTCTGGATACGCATAGAGTCTTCGCACTATCGAAGAATTTTTGAAACGAGACTCTCTTCACCAGGTACGTCTCAGATTCGATCTTTGACATGTGGATAAATTTTAAACACGAAAAGATCTTCCTAGGATTGTTATTGTCTTCCGTTACGTGTTACGAACACCTATATGCAATCCTTTAGTTCCTTCTCACTAAACATGCTAATTCGTAAGTAGAAGGAGGAAAGTAAGTGGAAAAATTCACCCACTCTGTCATATATTCTAGCCTTACTCTTAGTGAATGAATTGTCCAAATGACCGTTTAGGCAGTGCCTTTGTCAAAGCATCAACAAGTTGACTCCCAGTAGGTATGTGACTTACTGAAAGCTCACTTCTTTCCACTTGATCACGGACGAAGTGGAAATAAATGGCCACATGCTTCATTCGACTGTGAAAGACTGGATTTCGACTTAATTAGGTAGCATCAATATTGTCACAGAGTACCTTAGGAGGGCTGGACATGGAAACATGCAATTCCATCAGTAAGTTTGTGATCCAACTAAGCTCAACTACAGCAGAAGTAACAACCATGTATTCTGCTTCAGTAGACAATCTAGCAACCGTGTGTTGCTTTTTGGAGCACCAACTTATTGGATTATTGCCAAGAAGTATAACATAGGCAAAAGTTGAGTGCCTGGTGTCTGGTATACCACCCCAATCAGCATCTGAGTAAGCTAGCAACTTGAAAGAAGTGGCGGGTGTGAAGTGAAGACCATAAGTAATGATACCCTTCAAGTAGCGCAGAAGTCTCTTAGCTGCTTGCCAATGTTTCAGGCTTGGTCGATGCTAAAACTGAGCAAGTTTGTTCACTGCAAAACATATATTTGGACGAGTGAATGTTAAATATTGTAAGGAACCAATAATCTGCCTGTATAACTTGGCATCTGCAGATGATGATCCATCATCAAGTGAAAGAGGATCATTGGTTGACATCGGAGTGCTAACACTGTTCGCATCGAGCATGCCGAATCTTTCCAGAAGATCAGCGATGAAGCTGCTTCGGGTGAGAACCAAACCATGAGCATGCTGCAAGACTTCAGCACCAAGGAAAAAATGTAAAGAACCAAGATCCTTGATGGAAAACATGTCATCTAGTAGTTTGATGGTACTTTGGACATGAGAAGAGTTAGAACCAGTGACGGCGATATCATCGACATAGACCATCATAAAAAGTAATGAGCTGGTAGTACATTCAGGAATAAAGAGTCATCTGATTTAGCCCTTTGAAAACCATATGAAAGAAGGTATTATTTGAGCTCGTTGTACCATGCCCTAGGTGCTTGACAAAGGCCATATATTGACTTATGAAGCTTCCATACATGTTGTGGAAATTTTGGATCCCTAAAACCGGGTGGTTGATTCATGTATACAACTTCATGAAGTGTACCTTGTAAGAAGGCATTGTTCACATCTAATTTCCGCAAGGGCCACTTAAACGACACCGCAAGCACAAGAATTAGACGTATTATAGTATGTTTGATCACATGACTAAAAGTGGAATGAAAGTCTACACCAGGTCGTTGATGAAACCCTTTGATAATATTGCTTTGTAGCGATCCACAGATCCATCAGGTTTTTGCTTGACATGATAAACCCACTTGCATCCAACTATATTTTGAGATGGAGATGAGGGAACCAAAGTCCAGGTGGAATTTCGCATAAGGGCAACCTTCATGGCTGTTTTCCATTCAGGATACTTGTTTGCTTGGGCAAAAGTTGTCGGAGCAAGAGGAAGCGGTTTGGTGGAAGAGATAGCAAGATAGTCAAAGACAACTTTTGGTTTGAAGATACTGTTCTGGGATCTCGTGACCATAGAGTGAGTAGGAGCAGGTGGCAAAGGTTGTGGTGGAGGCAAAGGATATTGTGCAACAAGAGACATAGTGTTGGGCATGCTTGGAGTAGAGGGTGAGGGTGAATTAGCTGAGGTACTTACAGCAGTACTTGATGACACATCCTCTGCAGTAGTTGGAGTTGCAGTGATCTCTTAAGTAGTCCTTGGGACAACCAGGTCGATGGCTTGAGGTATAGGAGGTGGAATGCATGATTCATTGGTATAAGGTAGGGAAATTGAGGAGAAGGAAGCTGCTAGACAGTACCAAGACTACAAGTTGGAGGTTGAAGCGCGATCAAGGGAAGGGAAGTGCAACTTTAATGGAAAGACATGTTCAACAAAGACAACATGTCGAGAGAGAAAAATTTTTGAGTTCGAGAGATCTAGGCAAGCAAAAATGTTAGTGACAGAGGAGTACCCCATAAAGACACAAGGTTTCGATTTTGTATCAAGTTTGGAGCTAGAGTAAGGTTTAAGCCAAGGATAGCAAAGGCAACCAAAAACTCAGAGCTTGATATGATTAGGTGTGGTATGAACAAACACTGAACTGGTGATTTTAAGTTAAGCAAAGGTGTTGGTAGTCAATTAATGAGGAATACTACAGTTTGGAATGCAATGGACCAAACTTTTAGTGGTACCGAGGCATGATGAAGTAAGGTCAGGGCAGTGTCAACGACATGTCTATGTTTTCTTTCAGCAGTTCCAACTATTTGAGGGGTATATAGAGGACTCATGAGATGCTGAATGCCCATTTCCAGTAAGAGAGATTTAAGACCAATATATTCACCTCCTCCATCTGTGTACAATGTCTTGATGAATGCACTAAACTAATTATGAATCATTCGAGTGAACTTAATAAAAATACTTTTAACATCTGATTTATTTTTGAGCGGCGAACAACCAAATATACTTAGTATAGTGATCAACAAAGATAACATAGAATCGAAAGTTGTCAAAAGAGGGAATTGGAGAGGGACCCCAAACATCTGAATAAATAACATCAAATGGCTTAGAACTAGAAATAGAATTGTCACCAAATGGTAAACGGTGACTTTTATTACATAGACATGAATTGCAGAAGGTAAACGGATTATTAATTGACACTGGAAGCTTGAATGAGGACACATATGCTTTGGTGATACGAGGTTGAGGGTGACCAAGAAGAGCATGCCAAAAGTGCAGGGACGGTGATGCTTGAGTAACAAAGTTGGCTTGTAGTGAAAGGGGTGAGACACTGGTTGGTGGCCATTCGTAGAGATCACCTTTAGTCCGACCTTGCAGAAGACATGCCCTCGTGCTCAAATCCTTCACAAGAAATGAATAAGGAAAAAATTCAATGGTGTTAGATTTTGACGACAAAATTGAGCAACAGAGATTAGTTTCTTCTTTATATAAGGGGAACAAAGAACATTCTGTAACTTAAAAGAATTATGGGATGAAGAAAGTGTAGTGTGACCAATATGAGTAATCGGAATGGTTTTACCATCTCCAACGATTATTTCATCAGTGTCAAGGAATTCTGTTGCGGCTTGTAGAGATTGTGAATTATTTGTGATATGGTGTGATGCTGCAGAGTCAACAATCCAATTGTTTGCGAGATTAGATGCATATGACAAGCGGTTGGTAAAGTTGGCTTGAGCCTCAAGTGCACTATGTGATTTTGAGCGACAAACTTTGGCGATGTGCCCAAATTTGTCATATAATTGGCATTGGACTCTCTGCTGGTTGCTACGGTTGTTGGGGTGGAAGGAGTTGGAATTATGGAAAGAGTTGGTGCGTTGGTTGGTTGAGGTGTTCTGAATGGGACCCCTGCGGTTGTTGCTTGGATTATAGTTCCTGGATTTTGAGTTTGGGTAGGCTGATTTTTGATGAAACTTGGCAGTGATGATTGGGTTCTCAAGCTTTGGCTCCGAGTGTTTAATAAACATCTCATGCGCAAACAATTTGTCATAGAGCTCTTCAAACGATATTGGTTTATCTCGAGCCCTTATAGCAGCAGATAGTTCTTTGTACTCAGATCCTAGACCACTTAGGATTTTGATGACAAGTTCCTCATTTGAGAGAGGTGAGCCACTGGATGCAAGATCATCCGAAATGGATTTAATATCCTTCATGTAGTCACTAATGGAGCGTGAATCTCGTTTGAGATTAGCAAGAGTGTCACGCAGGCTGAAGATACGTGACTGGGATTTATTGGCATAAGTAGTTTGAAGAATTTCCCAAGCGTGTTTGGCACTACCAGCATATGCAATAAGAGAGGCGATTGTAGGATCGACTGAGGCCATGATAGCATTGCGGAGAAGGTTATCCTGTCTCTGCCAAATCTTGAACGCGGGGTTGGGAAATTTATTGTTTGCTCCACCTTGGATATGCACAGATGGAGAGGGAAGTGACCCATCCACATACCCAAGAGGCCGTAACCAAAGAGAAGAGTTATGACTTGTGATTTCCAAGTACAGTAGTTGGAACTCCCTTGCAATTTCAAGGGGAGTTGGGATGCTGGATTGAATGAAATTAGTCGGGATGACTGAGCAATGTTCCCATGACTAATTGTGACGCTGGGGGAAGTAGACGAGGTGGTTGAAGAGTGAGTCTGTGACTCACCCATTCTGGAAAAATAAGGGAGTAACTCGTGTGAGTTTTTCAAAAGGCTCTTGATACCATAAAGAATCTTAATATTTGTAGGAAAAGGATTGTTTCTATTGCCTCAATCATGTACAATTTATATAGTAAATTCAGAAGGGTTCAATCTATATAGATAAGTACAACAGAGATATTTACAAGAGTTTGAGTGTGACTATAACTACGACTCTAGCTAGTGTAGCTTAAGGTAAATGAATTACGTTGATGAGAATGATTTGTTAGGCTTTGAATTATCCTTATCAACTCTGTCATATATTCCAACCTTTTCATCTATCTCCAAGAGTTAGGACTAAATATTAATTAAAAAAAATTCGAACTCTTCAACCATACATGAAAGTTCTTTCGTATGGTTTTTATCATTCTTCTTTATTTAGACTCGTAAGCTTTGTAAAAGGACTTTGACTGAAGTTTAAAAATTGTACCTTTGAAAGTCAAATATAAGCAAGAAGCAAACATAAGCCCCAATAAAGTGAACTATAAAAATATTAGGCCCGTAGGCCCACAACAATCTTCCAAAGACTTTAATTCCAGACCAGTTGCTTTGGATGACCTATTCAAAATTGAAATTTTGCTGGCTTAGCCGACATTGTGTAAGCAATAAGGCAGCTTTTCTTCGAAGAAGAGAAAATACTTTTCTTTATGGACCCACCATTTTATTTCAGATAGTGATATTCTTAGTGGGCGTTTGGACATAAGAATTGTAAAATTTCAAAAAATACAACAATAACAACGACCTAATATAGTCGCACAAGTGGGGTCTGGGGAGGGCAGTGTATACGCAGACCTTACCTCTACCCCGATGGAGTAGAGAGATTATTTCCGGTAGGCCCTCGGCTTAAGAAGACGAAAAGACAAAAAGAGAATATTGTTTTGACATGAATATAATTTTGTGTTGTTTTTGAAGTTTTGTGAGTGATCTGAGTGAAAATTTTGAAAAATAGCTTTTTTTCGAAAAATTTCAAAATCCATCTTCAAGTAAAAATTGAAAATTTTATGGATAAACACTAATTTCAAAAAAATAAAAATAAAATCTTATGTCCAAATGGGTTACTCTTGTACTTCCTCTCTTGAATTGCACGGATGGCAAGCTTTTGCCTAAAAGAATTGAAGGTGATATTTTATTCATCTCTAGTTATACATGCATTAGTTATTTCATAATGATAGTGGTATAAAGTTGTATCAAAATTAGTGTATTACTTTATACAAGAATTAACTATACACGAATAGAAAAGATAAATCAAATATTATATAATCATTACAACTCTTTTATAGCATGCTTATTTCTTTCTATATATCAAACTAAAACCCCTTAAGGTTGCCGAAACAATGAAACAACTTAAGGATGGGAAAAAATCAAAATGCTTAGCCTAGTGCTCAACGTTTTCTTCTCAATTTCTTCATAGTGTGATCATCTATCTCCTAAATATGTCATGACAAATTGGTGATAGTCAGAGTTGAATATATTTTAATTAGGTTACCGAGTGCATGTGTATGTAATACTTTAGATTCAAACTATAACCCACATTCACATATAGGTAAACATATTTATATCGTTATATTAAGTTTGCGGAGAGCCTTGGAGCAACAATAAAGTTGTCTCCATATCTATATATTATTAAAAGGAGAGGAAAAAGCCCTCTCCTTAAGCCAAGTGGCAGCCTAAAAAAATGCCACATGGCATAATTGGTTA